CATCTACTACAAATAAAGTTGTTATTTTTATTATTCTATCATTGGGTGGTATTAAACTGTCATCGTGAGATTATCTTTTACACCTTTTAAAACGTTAGCATTGAATTTCTTCTCTTATATTATGATTAGTGTTTTGGTTGATTGGTGGTAATATTTTAATCTTTTAAGAAATAATCAAATATTTTTTTTTATTTATAAAAAATAATTATATTCAAAGACAGCGATATGATTCAAGGTAATATTGGCCATAGTTCTATTGTATCAAATTAGCAGGTAATGGTTTCACTAATGATGAAGGGAATTAGCTCAGTTTATAATTTCCTCTCAGAAGACGCAGATTAAAGTGCATGTACTTCGCAGAATTGGATTCTATCTATAATTTTATTCAACAATTGTCACTGGATGGGTTGTAGAATAGGATAAATTCTTGATAGAAAATACTGTGCTTATATTTTTAAAGTCAGTTTCACTGTGGATAGCTGTAATTTTCTAAAAAGTAATTAATTGTTGCTTTGGTACTCGTATTAAAATTATTTATATTTTACATTTAAATTTATGTAATTAAACGGCTTGGTATAGATTTACGTTATGATGTATTTATTAATGGGTCGGTTCAATATTCATAGATATTGATATTGTTTGTATAATATATTTTGATTGACTTTTTTGTCGGTTCATCTAATTTTAATTTCTTCTAAATAAATTATTAATTATGAAGTTCTTCGAATAAACGATTTATATTTTGATTTCATTTCCTGGAGTGCAAAAATTACTGTTAATTGGTTATTTTAATTTATGGACTACGATTACGGTCCATTAATCATTCAACATAAGCAAAATGATTAAATGAACCTTAACTACATACTAAATTAGTCAAAAGCCTAAGTCAACAAGTAAGTTCGTAGGCAATTAAAGCATTAAAGTCTATTTATTTCTATGATAAATAAAATATCTAAGAAATTAAATTGTGATTAATGTTATTTCGGGCTCGATGTTGGAACGGGCGAGGTCGATGATAGGATAGGTGGCCGAATTTATTATGTCGAGCTCCGTGCTTCTGAAGCGCATTTTTGGCTGTTTCTGGCTACATCCCCAGTCTCTAACACCCGCGAAGTCCTGTCCGCGTGTTGGGTTGTAATTCATTCTCCCTATTCGATTCGGTTCAATCCACGTTAGGCCTCTGCCCTAGCAGTGGGAATATTGGTAGGCTGGTGATGGTGATGAATGTTTTTGCTTATTATCTATTCCAAGGTGATTGTAGTCAACTAGTAACTATAATGTATGATTTACAACTTATTTAGTTGTTATGTAGGTTTCTTGTTTAGTTATGTCCCATAATCAATTATAACTTAAACATGTATTTCAAGGTATTGCGTTAGACGCTTTTAGGAATCAAAGTCGGAATCTTTAGTTTATATAGTTAGCAGTTTTATTTTGTTTAATTACCTGTTTTTCCACCACTTCGGCCGCGTAACTTATAGCATATGTCACCCGAATATGATATCCTGCCGAAAAAACGATTTTTAAAATGGCAAGTCTATTCAAGGCAAACGTACAAACTAAACAATTAAATTTTTCCTCTTTATAATATCGATAGATGTTAATAATAAACCTGAACGAGTGGTAGGGAAAAATGTTGGATTATTCAAAATAGAAAGTTTATTTGAATGAAAATTGGAATATTTTGACTTTGAATTAACTTTAAGAAGGGTTCTGTTGATAAACGTTACTCTATATAATGAAGTATTATACAGATACGAAAAAGCCACTCAGAGCAAATCGTTGCACTGAATGCCTGTCACAGTTATACATCTATGTATGATGTAGCTTCCCATAGGTGAAAGAAATAAACAAATTTGTAATGCAATAAACAAATATTGCCTTTTTATAATATTAGCTTAGATAAAATAGCACATTCCCCTCTTCGCACTTGTTTTTTTCTTCAAGTTTTTACTTCACGCAAATTAATAAATATTACACAGCATTAAAATCATTGCTCAGATTCCAAGACGAGGAGCAAAGTAGTATGAAGTTTAAGTGATAATAAAGGTAGCATAACACCACATTCAAATAGAAAAGTTAATTTTTCAATATTTATCCCACCGGGAATCAAACCTACAGGATGGCATACCTTGAAAGCGGCTAAAAATTTTACGGAGGTCGTCAAATTTGATTACAGCATACTAATTACCAAACCAACATGTTTCTGATTAGATGTATGACTGTAATTATGTAACTGATTTGCAACAACTCTTTTGTTCCATTACAATTCATCTCAACATCCATTACCAACTGTAGCAGGTGCACATAATCTTGTAACAGCACATAACAATTTAGTTAGATGCATGCATTGTTGACAACGGCACGTTACAAACTACCCAACAATAGGGGGCGTGTTGCCCAACTGCGTAGCTTAGTCATCGACTGTTGTTGCTCTCGAGTCGTCTGTTATTAGACTAGTTCAGGGATCGGCAACCTTATACGTCGTATTATAAAACGACGAGGAAAGTTAGTACTTTAGTTTAAAGCATTGGCCGCCTGAAGCAAATTGCCAATGTTAGATGAGAAAACGTCACGTTGAGACGTTGATTTGTTTTGACCGGTAATGGTTTAAAGCGGGAACTAACTGCTACTCGTACTTTGTTTTATAATAAGACGATATGAAACGAAACTACCGAAAACTACAATTTACAAAATTTTACAGTTTTTAAAGAGCATCTGAAAGATTTCGTCCCAATATTATTAATATTATATTTGAGGTATTATAAAAAAAAAATTGAAACTTGCGTTAGTCAATATATCTAGATCATATTATAGTATGGGTTCTCATCTATGGATTGATGACACAATTTGAAAGTTTTTTCAGGATATAATTCAGAACTTGAGAGTTGCAATTTTACATCGAATGTGCCGCAGGTAGTCGTCCCCTGGACTAGTTTAATGTTCATACAGCAGCCCATTGCCATCTATTGCGAAATACACTCGTTCATGCGAAAGTTGAATATCGATTATATTGATATATATTTGCCTGTATACATCCGCTGGACATCCGTGTTAACATGGAAAAACACTTAAAATTATCCGTACTAGATAATATTTGTCTTACGCACAGCGGCACGTCAAGATTAAACAGAATTTCAAATTCCAAACCGCAGTCGGTTTTGATTTCGATTGTCAAATTATTAACGTTTAAAATCGATTGAAGATTTTGAACATATTTTAATTACATGCTTCTGATAAACGTTTGTTTGTTTATTTATTTATATATTAGAATGCTTAGGTACATAAAGTAGGCATGCTTATGCATTTAGATTAGATCATTTGCATTACCTTTGAAAATATTAATAAGATTTTTTTTTTATATAAACATAAATCTTTTAATTCTACGAAGATAACTTATGATAATTTCTCTTAATTTGTACAATTGCCTTTTATTTACAACTATAGACTTCATCAGCGGCTTCGTCTGCGTGATCCTGTATTTTACTTATATAAACTTTCTTGAATCACTCTGAATTTCGATGAAAACCTTATTAAAATCCGTCCTGTAGTTTAAAAGAAATCAGCGTACAGACAGCGGGAACAAGCGACTTTGTTTTCCACTATGTAAAGATTGCCGTTTCGTGTATATGACTTGCAGATATTATTGCCCTTGACTCGTGAAACTAATGTTTCAGTAACACGATTCATTCTGTTTGCCGGCTTTCTTCGTGCTCAAGGAAATCCGGTTGTAAAAACGTAAGTTGCCATTGCTTTTGGTGCCGGTGTGTCGTTCTCTTTAGTAATGTCTATATTGGTACGTATGCGTGCATCACTACGGCAATTATACCAAACTACCGGAAGCATAAGTGATTTCAATATAATTTATCAGGAATTTCAACATTACTATCTATTTTGTTAAAAAGTACACAGCAACACAGTGGCTAAATAAAATCTACTTCGTAAGATATTATGTTTGTATGTTGTAGATATTAGTGACAATTATATTTTGGCACAAACTAGACTAAATTTTGGTTCAGGTAATCCTGACAACCTGCTTTATTCAAAAATAAAATTATTATACACGTTATAGTATACAACAGTATTTAATTAATTATATTCCTCAGATTAAATTATAAGATGTGTTAACAGAATAACGTTAAAGTAAAACCAAGTTGAAATTCGAATTTCATTGTCTTGTTTAGAAAATGACACACGCTCTAATCAAATATGCGGGAGAGCGCAATGCAAAAATGGGGATAAACACCAGGAATTTAAGGAGTGCTTATGTTCACTGGGTTCGTTTGAAGTTTGACCATTCTCGATGTTGATTTCGTCGGCTTTGCCTTTTATGGAAAGGTATGACGACCAACAAACCACTTTGCTTAGCACAAAAAACTTAAATTGCCCGCTTGAAATTTCTTAATTCGCATTCCTACCTTTTTAGTGACTTTGAAGAGGCGAAGTTGTTAGGGTTTTGCAGGAATGTGGTCAAGGATGAAATACTCTTGGTTCAACTTATTATAATTAAGTTGATTTAGAAGATTGCAAAATGGAATAGTGTGATAAATTTTTAGACCTGCCTGCATACTTGACTTAATACGGGTTTTTTTTGGTGACACATGTTTCCTTCTATCGTCATTACTCGCTTAATTAAGCAAAAGTAATACGTTCAAATCATATCTTTATTTTAGAATTTACCAGGTCTTCAATCTGCTAATGTATGTGGCTTCTCCATGGCGTTTAACTGAATTGCATTTTGCACCTGTATATCCTGGAATACAATAGTATTAGCACTTGGCATCTTGATTAATCAACGGTAGCAGATATAGTTATTGTTATTTGTTGATCTAATGACAAGAACTGTGTCAAAAGGTTGTGGTTGGTTGAAATAATGCCATAGTTACGTTAATATAAGCAAAAGTTAGCCAATTTCATATCACGCAATCTAAACAAAATATATGTTAATAAATTGTTATTTATAAGAGCAATTTTATAATACGTATATATTTGATCTGCAGGAGGAACTAGATCTGACTGCGGTGAATAAGGCCGCGATGATGGAGCTGCCGGCCGCGAAGAAGTGGCAGATATACTGCAGTCGGAGGCCACCACCGGGACAAGCCCCTCCGCTAGCCACCGCTCCGCAAGTCGAGGAGTATATCAAGGCGCTCAATGAGATCGCTGACGTAAGCACAAATGATCATTTTCTTAATCTAAGTATCAATGGCCGTGCCTTTTTTGCCAAGTTACTAAATGAAGTCTTCTTTTATATTGGGCGATAAACTATTTTAATAGGTTGGTGAGATTCTCTTACGAGTGATATTTGTAATTTGTATTAAACATAAAAAAAAATACAATTATAGTTTGAAATCTCTGTATGGAATAAAACAGGGAGAAAAAAAAAACTGGCCCATCGTTGATTTGTGAACCGATGGCATAGAATTTCGACTATCACAAGATTATAAAAATATATGAACACATGTTGATGGTGTGCGAATTATTGGCAGAACTTGGAAGTAAATAATTTAGAAAAAACAATATCACACCTTATTTTGAATGATATTTCTATTCATTCCGTAAAGGTCGCTTCTTAGTGCATCTGGAATTTTATTGTCATTTCAAAGTTAAATAGCAATATAAAACCACTCGGTTAAGTTTCCTATTATGAACACGTGACTGGTTCACTCTAGATTTGTGCCGCGTTGCGTTGTCGCGCCTACTTGCATTCTTGTTTCAGTTGTCCTATTGTCATTGAATGATGTTAGAACAGCGAAAAGGATGGTTCGCTATTTAATAAAAAGAATTATTATAGAAAAGTTATCAATTTTCAATTTAAATTTATTGAATTTATTTAATTGAATAAGAAATGTTCCATATTTTATTAAAAAAGAATTATTGAATGAGTTTAAGCGCCGAGCGTGAAAAGGATTCCTTTTCAAAAAGCGTGAAAAGATAAAAAGTGTAAAGATGTACAAATACGCGCATGTAAACCAGTTTAAGTTGTTTCTGCAAAAGAGTATTGTATACTTTAACATAAGTAACAATTTATTCAAACCAAGCCTTTATGTTGTTGCCGATGCTCATTTTCTTCAATCAAAGTAGTTATTTATGTGTGTTATAAAATTGTCTAGCAATCTTTACGCACCAAAAATTTTCTATTGCGTGTGTGGTTTCGTAAATACAAGTAGGTACACACCGGCAGTATTTAAAAACGATTTTCTGTGTACCTAGTTGTGGTTTGCATATTATTGCAAATATTGTAATTATATTACAGTGGTTTTGCGTAAAATCGAAGGTTTCGTTGCAGTATGTCCCGCAGTATTGAAATTGATGCATTTACGTAATTAGATCTGATTTAAAAAAATGTGCCCAACTCCCATTTTTTGTGTCTACAGTTTTAGTAGTGAAATGATTATTTATTAATTAGAGTAAACTTTGTGATGTCGCAAGCTGTAATTGATGTGTACTCAGTAGATAAGCAATGGAGATGTTTTATAATATACAATGTTTGCTACTTGTAGATAGGTAATCCAAAGCCTGTGTAATGTTACTTATGATTTCGCAAATTTATCTTCCAATTATTTTGTACAGATTACATTAAAATTAATCCAAAGTAGGAATCTGTCTATTTTATTTTTAATTTATGTTACAATAGAAAAAAAATCACTTGATTTAAATGAGATTTATTATGGTGGTGATTAATTATAGGCTTTTGCCTCATCCGATGGTATCCCTGCGGCGGAGACATGCGCTCTCGTCGAGGGTCTGAAGACAGCACTGCGGACGCGCGCCCATAGCTTCGTGTTGCGCTTCGTGAAGCAAGGCGGGCTTGGTGCGCTCCTGGATGCGTTACAACGTGCGCCTCGGGACGACGCCGCCATGAGGCATAACCTTATAGCAGCCATCAAAGCACTTATGAATAACTCTGTAAGTATCAGAAAATTCGCTTAGTATAATTTCTGAAAATTGCTTATACGCCTGGCCGCCATTTTGATGACGTAATTGCGTTCAAAAATCAGTACCGTTAACAATAAAGTACACTTATTGGGTTGGGTTGTGTTGAGATTACACATCATTTTTGTTATGATTGTGTTGGTTTAGATTGTTATTGTTAAGTTTTGTTGTTACTTGTTATGGTAGACTGAAATGGCAACTGCTATTATGATTTTAACTATATTTAAACATTATTATAATAATGTCTCTCTTTTCATTATTACTTTTATCCTTTCCGTTTAATATCGCGTTATTAAAAGGTAATTTTTTTTTTCATTTTTTTCCACATACCTCAATATTTACATATAAATTGATTCTTTTCAAAAATGCAATAAATTTGCAAACTAAAAGTTATTAAACCATTATAACAATACTTTGGGTTTTATTCATATCATCTCTTGCTTTTTGTGCTATCTATACTTTATATTTTCATATGACGTCACGCGGGTGTTATTTAGACAAGGTTCCAGCGCATTAGCAATAAACGGGATTAATAATAGTTTTAAAAGGACACTCGCCAATGGCATGGTATGGAAACTCATTATCAATCAAAAAGCCATAGACTAAACCAATGCTGCGGATATTCTTCCTTAAGTAATCGTGAACACTGAGATTCGCAAATAAACGAGTAATAATAAATACTGTAGCGAAGCTTCAGTCGTCAGCTTTAAATTTTAACCGATCCGTAGAAGCATTGAGTTATTTTCTTCTTGATATTGTGTCTAAGATCGGCGCCCCTGGACACATATGTAGGTGTTATGACAATAAAACCGGATACCACAACCGGTACTTTATGAATTATGAAGGAGTTGGCGGAAGTTATTAACCTCGTACAAGTACCTAGATAACATTGGTAAGGTATATCTCATTTCACACCCACATCTAAAGATTTAAACTGGTGTAAACAAAACAAAGATTCATTTCGAAAAATAGATTTATTTTTCTTTTCGATTGATGAGAATACTAAGCGCAGGGACAGTAAAAAGTACTAAGGAAACTCGATAGTCTTGCTAAGGTCCAGTTTCTAGGGCGGTTGAGTCTTTTGAGTATTTATCTATATCATATATAAAGAGGATTTTTATCAATGTCATCGAAAATAATTATTTTTCCTTTGTAGTATTTAAACATTGTATAGTCGCTGACGGAATGCGGTAGTCGTGACCGGCCCAGTTTCACGGTGGAAAAACTCGTAAAATGCACATAAAAACTGCAACTGTCGTGACGGGTATTATAGCGTCAGCGGTCGTCTTATTTAGAAAAAAATATGTACAAAGAAAACTAATCCAAGTTGTAGTTGCTTAATATGGAACTAATTATAGACGACATAATACAATGTAACATTACTTTTGCTGGTTATGTAGTCGTATCGTTAGATAGATAATCTGTCTAATAAAAAAAAACTTAACGAACTTCGTGTTATCCCAAATTATCATCTCGATTCTCTTTTTAGCTTGTATTTTCATTAATTAATAGTGCAACTTGATGCTCTCACGTATACGAACCGCATAGATTTTAGCCAAAATTGTAAAACGTTACGAAAATCAAAAAATAATTTTCAGATAAATAGAGTACCTATTCCATGTACCGTGGACGGAGCCACGGTACATGGAATAGGCACTACATAACTATGAATAGGGATGATGACTAATATTTGTTTGTTTGTCCGTCAGGTAGAGTTTTAAAAAATATGAAATACGTATTTTTTAATTTTTTTCGTAATCATAAAATTACGGCGTGACGTAGCGAGCCCCCACTCCTCAACTTTAATGCCTGTTATCTATACTATATCTTGTTAAATTGAAGTAAAAAAAAATACGTATCTAATATTTTTCTATTATCTGACTGACGGACTAAATAGAATTGCATTTTTTTACCCAGTCATCATCCCTATTACAGGCAAACGCGTTACCTTTGATTTGGTCAACATGGTATTCAAACAAAACGGACTCAACGGTCAAAAGTGTATTGAACGTTGAAGGCATTTGCTTTAATCACTTAGATGTATTGGACGTACACACTGTAAATTACGTTACGAACGTAATTTAACATACAGTGCGTTAAGTGAGTACACTTTGAGAATGTTACGCGGCAACTCTCTAGCCCCAGGAAGTACCTTCATACCTTCGTCATACGTGCTTCTTACCTTATTATAAATATCTACATTACCTACATATTGTACAAATAATTATCATCATCACCAGCCTATTAATATCCCCACTGCTGTGGCTCAAGCCTTCCCTATGGAAGGAATCGATTTGAAATGGGAAAATGGGCCCATGAAGAACGCGGGCCCAGGGCAGATTAGTTGGTTTTTACAACTGCAGATACAGCCTTCTGAAGCACCTAGGACTTGGTCATCCATCTTGTGGCTGGCCATTCCGAAAGCTGTTTAACAACCTTTTTAGCTGTGCTAGCCACTGCGCCATCGACCTCCTCCTCATTGTATTAATGTTTTGTTATATTAGTTAAAACTTAAAAGCATTAACAGTATAACTTATTTTCCAGACTGGCCGTGCACACGTACTAGCACACCCAACTAGCATAGATCTCATCGCACAGTCCCTCGATACGGAGAATGTGAAGACGAAGGTAGCCGCTCTCGAAATATTAGGAGCCGTCTGCTTAGTACCCGGTGGCCATAAGAAGGTATACTTATTTGTTATACTATACGCCTGTTGAGTTTATAAGAGCAAAGAGTTTATAAAACAGTTTGGTTAGTACAAGAGTTGCAGCACCATTGTCGTACGTGGTAACGTGGTAGAGATTTGTAACGAAACCTAAAGACACTATGAATAAATCAGCTATGACATCCCGCCCGAATTGTTAATTCCGGTCGAAATTTATTTATTTTTTTAATTTTGTAGCTGACATGCTGTTAACCTGGCAATATTTATTGCAACGAGTAAGAAAATTATAAGTGTTCTAACTTCGTGTTACATCTTAAGCTATGACTCTATTCAATTCGTAAGGGTCAACACATATATGACGTAAGGTGCGTTCGTCTCTTTGGTCGTGAAGTCAGAATTGGCAAATATGTGATAACGTCATTCAACCTTGTACACACGTCTAAGGTCCTAGACGTTTCTCCGTCGCGTACTCGTGCATATTTTTGTGAGACGCTCGATGGATTATCATTTGCATAGACTCCGAGAGCTTGATATGTTTTATCGATCACATAGTTTGCAACATAAACATGTATCGATTTCTTATATTTTCACGCCCTCTATCCATTAATAAAATCATACGCGATGCTATTGAAATTAAAAAAAAACTTCCGAACTTTCATAAAGATGAAGGTTGGAATATACCCCGGCTTGGAATCCAGTTCCAAGCCCAAGGTATATTTAATTAATCAATGTATTTTTAAAATAATTTAATTTAATAAATGTAAATGCTTCCATTGAATATAATGTAGTTGTTGTGAAGGTAGCTGTACTCTTAATTAAAAAGACAGTCGACACATTAGTCTTATGTGAACACGGAACTTGTAAAGGGTCCGAAACATCGTAAAAGAAAATATAAACACCAAGAAACCGTTCAAAGTTGTTTCATTTAACATGAACATGCTTTCCAGGTGCTAGAAGCTATGGTGCATTTTCAAAAGTACGCAGGCGAGAGAGCCCGTTTCCAAGGTGTCATCAACGAGCTGGATCGCAGCGTGGGCGCGTACCGTGACGAGTTAGGTGTGAAGACAGCGGTCATGTCATTCATCAATGCAGTTTTAAATTATGGCGCCGGCGAGGACAGCCTCGAGTTCAGATTGCACCTGCGATACGAGCTGCTAATGCTGGGCATACAACCAGGTATGTACTACTACATTATGTTCTCTAAGGTCCTAGACATTTCATTCTATACAGGGTCAATATGAAAAATATCTTTCCTATATTATGTCGGTTACGGGTGGTTGGATATCATTACATAAAATATGGCCAGCTCACTGATCCCGGGTTCGGTTGTCACGGGCATTGCCACAACGCGTTTTGGTAGAATAGCATATTAACTACGACACGAACTTCGCTATGTGGTATTTTTGTAATTACCACAACGCGTCCTGAGTGTTTTTATTAGACCATGAACATCGCCATGGTTTACTGTGACTACAACGCGTTGTCGTGAACTATTTTTTAGCTCAATGTGCCATTTCTTTTTGTGCGTAACATAAATATTTATAAATTTTTCATATAATCCATGGAAATGGTATAAATTCAAATCCATGATACAGAATTAAAATTCACTTTTCCGAGCTTAACTATAATAGAGTTTTATTTACTGAAGTCTGACAAACTAGAAATCTTCTTGACTTCTCCATTCGACAGTGATCGAGAAGCTACGCAAATACGAAAACGAGACCCTCGACCGGCATATCGAGTTCTTCGAGATGGTCCGCAACGAGGATGAGAAGGAGCTGGCGAGACGGTTCGATAAAGAGCACGTCGACACCAAGAGCGCTACCGGAATGTTCGAGCTGTTACGACGGAAACTGAGTCATACAGCTGCTTATCCGCATCTGATGTCACTTATACAGCATTTACTGCTACTGCCTTGTAAGTAAAACCATCTATAGACCAATATTCAGATTTGGATGTAACAGTTTCTTCGGCATTTTCAGCAATTACAGTAATATTTCTGTCAAATTCAATTAAAATGTTGAAAACTTGAAAGGCGCCTTATTTAATTTGAAATGTATATTTATTTATGTCAAATCTTTTACACGAAATGTCAAAGCACTCAAATTCAACCGATTAAGCTGAACTTTTACACACAAGTTTCGTTTAAACAATAATGCATGGTCAGCATTTTGAACTGTTTACGAGGGCAGCCTAGTTATTTTTTCGGCACTGTCATAATGTATCAAATGAAATGGTTTGCTTGGAAGATTACCACTTAATACAATATGGCGGATCAGTTACGATGCCGGATGAATGTTTTCATCGCTCTCATAATACGGGCATCAAATGAAAGGTTTCGCTAAGAAAAAAAAAAAAGAAATATATATATATATATTAAAATCAAGCTATTTAATACTCTGATTAACTTTTCAGTCTAATATTTTACCGGAACATATTACACGTCAATGCTCCGAATTCCTTTTATACAAAGTTACGTTAATTTCACAGTGGAGTACAGTCCGCATTCGCAGCACTTCTTGCTGTTAGACCGAGTTGTACAACAGCTGGTGCTCCAGCAGCCGACCGCTGGTAGTCGCGCTAACAGCGAACAGGGGAGCTTACGCGATCTCAACACAGACCCTGCTAAGGTAACCACATTTTTATAGGCCACTAGCTTTCCGCCGGAGGCTTCGTTTATTTGGATATCGATTCATAACATGACACGGATATAATTACAATGACAAATTGAATAGTAACAATGGTTACTATGGTAACGTTTGAATTCCATATACAAATTTGCACTTCCATTTTCATCCCATTATTTGCTGATTTTCTGGATAAAATATAGATTATGTTCACCGCATATGATGTAGTCCGTTGGTGAAAAGATAAAAATAAAACGCTCTAGTGGTTTCGGAGCCTATTCGTTGCTAACAAACAAACAATCAAATCTTACATCTTTATAATATTATTAGCCGTTTTTAAAACAAACTTCAGTCAGTATTTATGCTTTATTTTGTTTTCTAATGCTAGTGAAATATTTGTTTGATTTGTGAAAATCGTTTTTTAAGATTGACAATTTGTCACTGTTTGAGACACTGTACCTTACAGCCAACAGCTCATCAGGTTATTTCGCCATTTGATTTCAAACTTTCAAGATGTTGTCAATTATGTTCAAAACATTTGTTATAATTTGATATGCCGCGGTTTGTACAGTAATTAAAGTTTTTACTAAATCTTAATTCAAAATTTTATGAAGAGAGGATATGATGTCCATATTTGTATAAAATAAAAATATTTTGTTTATCGAATTCCGGCTCGAAGGACCACTGAGATATTTTTTTAAATATCTATTTTGGTGTTTTTGGAAGTTGCATCTAACTATTTAATGATCAGGTCTACGATCCTGACGTGGCACCGCTAGAAATCAACGTTGGTGAAATAGTTCATCTTTTGGCGAAAGAAGAAGAGCTGGTAGCAGCCAGAACGAAAGCTGAAAATTTAGAAAAGGAAAATGTCGATATGGCGACAGAACTCGCAAAGAAGGTATGTTATGTAAACAATATTGCTTCCGAAGGGGCAGGTGATTAATCTATTGATCGGTTTCGGTATCAAATAATCATAGAACGTGCAGTCGTAACTTTCACAAATCACGATATTATAAATACAGCTTTACTTAAATAATTGCGATAATTTACATTTAATATGTCCCATGTGCAACCATGATGCAATATTGAATTTAGTATGTTTTATGAAAACAAAGTAAAAACGTATCGTATGTCTATTTATGTAAATTCGTATTTCTTTATCTTAGCTTCATCTTATATTTATAGATATAAGAGACCCAATTTTTGTGACGCAGATTTACATTCGTATCTATAGTCGAGTAGTAGAAAGTACTCGAGTTGAAGTAATTACTTATGCACATATTTTTATACAATATATGCGAAACAATAATAATATTCTAACATTTGAGAGTTCTTACTTCATCCAAGGTATTGTTTATTTGTTAAAAATATATGCATAAATCATTACATACTTATACTCAAGTGATTACTTCTACTCAACTATAGATACGAGTGTGAGTGTATTATCGTAACAATGTGCCTCTTGATATCTAGGCGTGAACTTTCAATGTTTTCATATTAGATATTAGTGTACGTTTTTACCACTAGTCATCGTAACATCGCGTGCAAACGCCCGCGACTAATAGCATGAGAGTCGCGCATGCGCTAACACTAACGGGCTGGCAGGAGCGGCAGGTGGACCAACTAGCGCAGGAGAGGGAGGAGCTGGAGGGGGTCTCCGCGCGGCTCACCGAGCGGCTGGAGAGGGAGACGGCTGCGCATATGCAGTGTGCTGAGAGAGCGCGCGCCGCCGCCTGTCGAGCTCATCAGCTGGAGCAACAGGTGATGTTACTGACGTTAGCGGGACGTGTAACGATATGTAGTGGGCCAGCTGGAGGGGGAGACGGCTGCACATATGCAGTGCGCTGAGAGAGCGCGCGCCGCCGCCTGTCGAGCTCATCAGCTGGAGCAACAGGTGATGTTACTGACGTTAGCGGGACGTGTAACGATATGTAGTGGGCCAGCTGGAGGGGGAGACGGCTGCACATATGCAGTGCGCTGAGAGAGCGCGCGCCGCCGCCTGTCGAGCCCATCAGCTGGAGCAACAGGTGATGTTACTGACGTTAGCGGGACGTGTAACGATATGTAGTGGGCCAGCTGGAGGGGGAGACGGCTGCATATATGCAGTGTGCTGAGAGAGCGCGCGCCGCCGCCTGTCGAGCCCATCAGCTGGAGCAACAGGTGATGATAGTGACGTTAGCAGGACGTGTAACAATATGTAGCGGGCCAGCTGGAGGGGGAGAAGGCTGCACATATGCATATATGCATATGCATGCTGGAGCAACAGGTGATGATAGTGACGTAAGCGGGACGTGTAACGACATGTAGCGGGCCAGCTGGAGGGACTCGCCTAACAGCTGGAGAGGAATACAGGTGATAATATTAAGGTAAAAGAAGGTACTCATGTATAAATGCAGCTGAAGGGAGTGGTGCTGTCGATAATAGAGTGGTTCAAGAGATACTTAGTAGTTGTTCAGTCAATGATATTGACGGTTTGGATTGGTAAGGCTAATACCAGACGGTAAAACATTTATTAATATTCATAAAACGAATAGGAGAGAGAGGTAACTATAATTTTTGAATTGTATTACTTTGTGATCATTGAAATATATCTCACCAACTTGTTGAGTATCAAAGTATTCAAAGGATTGAATTAAATTTTTTTTATAACTTCATTAACCAAGCATTATGCTTAGGTGGAGTTCAATATATCCTATATATTAACAAATCATCTTATATGAAATAAGTAATAATCATACAACACGAATTAATTTTATAATAAGTTATTGAAATAAACTTGGTAATAAAAGTTCATACCCGTTTTTATAAACACAAAAAAGTTTATTTCCATTAACCAAAGTGACATTGTTAATCTAAAATCTTATCATTTTATATTTGCAGTTATCTCAAGAAAGAGTAGAACGAGCGAGATTTGAAAAACTAGTCAGTGAAGGAAGTATACCGGACGACGCAAAGGTGAGGTCCATTATTCAAAATATTTATCCACATAAGTAGTATGTTAGGTGTCTACAAAATAGCCATTTCCGCAACCTATTTAGAATTTTAACTTCATAGAATTAGGGTTTATAGTAAAAAATAGGAAATTTTATAGTTTAAGCTTTTATCTGCAGTTGTACTTACACTATTATTCTTTTAATATAAACTAGTAAGATATATTCGTCTGCGTTTATTTTTCAATAAGCTTAATTTTTTTAATTTCAGTAAGCTCTTAAGCTAATTGAAATTGAATGTATGATAGTTTTTCCTTGTCAAAATTTAACGATACATTGTTTCTTATATTCTCAGGTCAGCAATCTCAAGAGCGCCGTAATAGAAACTTGCACCGTTCCACCACCGCCTCCGCCACCGGCGTTACTCGCGCCCGCGCCACCCCCCGCGCCCGCTCCCCCTCCCGCCCCCCTCGCACCTTTAGCCCCTCTCCCCCCCGCCCCACCTAAACCGAAAAAGAATGTCCCCACCCCCGGCAACCCATTGAAAAGCTTCAACTGGAGTAAACTGCCCGATACTAAACTCCACGGCACAATATGGCAGGAGTTGGATGATACGAAACTATACAACGCTATGGATCTTCACACTATAGACAAAATGTTCTGCGCTTATCAGAAGAACGGTGTACAGGTGAGATCAAAGACTTCGACTAGACAAGTTGTACGGTACAAAAGCATTGCTTGATAATACTGCTGTTGGCAGGTTGTACCGCCATTTTCACAACAAAACAAGACTACGGTATTGCCAGTAGGCCTTACTTAACTATAAAACAAATAGACCATGACTACTATACTAAGTACAATTACAATTAAATATATAGAAAACCAAAAATAGAAATAAAACTCAATAAAAGGAAATGAAATGAAACTACATAAATTAAACAATATGATATGATTTTTTTAATACAATTTTTTATTCAAACAACTGATTTATTGCAAAATTTTCAATTGCTTCTTTTAAATTCCGTCTGTCTGCTGCATTGTAATAGAAATTAGATTCTGAATAGTTTGTCTGATACTATACATAGACAGATATTTTATTGAAAGGTTTTCTCCAAATTGTATTTAGTGATATTAACGTCAGAACACGTGTGTAGATAGAAGACGAAAATAAATACCTTTTTGTTTCTGGTAGTCTTAAATATACTATTACCGAAAATCACACTTTTATGCTTATTATATTTATAATGTTATTAAAATTTATTATGAAAAAACACTTATTTTATAGTCGTTGTCACGTGACTGCAAATAGCGCGTGTCTAAGGAAGATGTCATAAATTTGACTTTGACATTGACATAAGGACGATATTTGTTGTTGTTATTGTTTATGTTATTTTCAGAGAAATTTTGAACATGAATTTTATTTTTAGATTTTAAATTAGTATATGAGAGATATTTTTTTATATATTTAATAATAATAATAATAAGTGTATTTATTTAACTTTTTCTACAGTAACTGATTAGCAAGTATACAAAAACTAATACAAGTTTGACCGTATACCGCTCATTCACTATCGCTGCACTTTAATTTGTTTCATCCACTATCAGTCAAAATAAACGTAATAGTGGGTACATGGATAAAGACTTAGTAGTTGAGAATGTCCCGAGTTTATACAGCGTGCGTTTGATGCAAATGGGAGTTAATGTATAAATAAGACGAAGTTGACAAATTATATAGCATACAAATATTAACCCGATAGTACATTCGTTAATATATTAATGCAAATTACATACCTATTTCAGTTTTTCGATATAGTACCTCTTCAATGTTCTTTTAATATTTTTGGAATTTATTGTATTTTTAACTTGATCATGCAGTTCATTAATCAGAACTGGAACCAAACATGCAAAACTTTTTGCCCCATACAGATTATTAAACCTTGGAATCATAAGCCTCTTTGATTGAGACCGCCTTGTATTTTTAACATTAGTATAAAAAGATTTTTGAATATTATTATTAAAGTAATTTTCAACTAATATTGTATAATTCACTTTGTAATGAATTGGAAGAATACTGCAATAATGAAATAGATCTCGATAGTTATCTTTGAATTTTGCTTTTATTTTAGTCGGTACTATATTTTTGATAAGGCGTAGTTGCAACCCGTAAATTTTATCAAGATGACTTTTACACGTACGACCATAACTGCTGAAACCATATGACACAACAGACTCCGCTAAATAATAATACAGGGCTAATAATATTTTATACGGAACCTTATTTTTAATTAGGCAAATTTTTGCTAATATTGCTCTTAATTTATCACACACTAGGTCGATGTGATCCGTCCACTTAAAACGATCGTCAATGACCAAACCTTAATACTTGTGACTAGTTACAACTTCAATCGCGGGACATTTACATGGTACTGTATACGCATGCAAACAATTATGTTCATGAGCAATCAAATTCAATGGCATAAGACTTCGGTTGCTGCTTGAACTTACATAAATCATTTTAGTTTTTTTAGAATTTAGAACCAAACCGGCATCGTGAGACCATGCTGAAAGACAAGTAAAATCTTTTTGTAACTGATCTAGAGCAATATTGATGTCATGATTAGCTGCAACTAAGCATGTGTCATCCGCGTACTGATAAATCTTGCAGTCCTGAATAACATTCACTACGTTATTGACATACGTAATGTAGTGAAGTGGACCGAGTACCGACCCTTGAGCTGTTCCGTCGGTAACGTGAACACGTTTGCTCAGTTCCTTGTCCACTTTAACATGATAAGTTCGATTCCTAAGGTAATCCTGACAACAGTTCAACAGTGAGCCCCTTACACCACATTCATACAGCCTCTCTGACAGTATTTCATGTTTCAGGGTATCAAAGGCCTTGCTGTAGTCTATGAAGACTACCAGTACATGTTTTTTCTTATTTAGTTCGTCCATAATTTGATCAGTAAATGCCGATAGAAATTGACTAGTGTTTTTATGAGGTTGAAAGCCAAATTGTGTGTTTGTCAACACATTATTTTCCGCATAGAACTCATAAATTTGCTTACTAATGAACTTCTCGAGTATCTTATCAATCAACGATAATATAGTGATGGGCCGATAGTTTTCACATTCTGATTTAGCACCGTTCTTATAAATGGGTCTCACTATTCCTACTTTTAGTTCATTCGGGTACGTATTAGTTTCAATACAAGTATTTATTAGTTTTGCAAGTACTGGGGATAATTTCTGCCAAAGGAACTGAACATCTAATGCGCGTATACCATCAATACCCGGTGACTTTTTACGATTTGTACTTTTTATTAATCTTTCCATATCTTCAGTGCTGGCTTTCCGTAATCGCATGGATACATTTACTGAACGTTGGTAACTTGTCTTATCCATTAAAGAGAATTTACAATGAGGAATTTTATTTTTTAGACTACCTATAAATGAATCTGCAAAAATATTGGCAATATCTATTTCTTTCACTTCGGAATTCATGAAACTACTAGATATTATTTCATCCACTGAAAGTTTATTACGACTTGTTATATTATTAAGAATATTCTATAATGTTTTTGGTTCTCCCTTGCTTGCGGTTTTTTGATTTTTGTATAGTTTTATTCGCATAGTTCCTAGCCTTATTATATTTCTGTTTTAATATCATATTATTTTTATCCTTTAACCATGTATTATAAAGAACATCTCTGTAATCACATGCATTTAATACTTTTTTATTAATCAATTATAAATTAAGTTAATAAATTGATAAATTAAGTAAATATTAATAAATTAAGTTAGGATTATTCATGCTGTCTACTTGTTTCCAATCTACATTTTTTAAATTTTTACGAAGTTGTTCCGCTTTGAAGATTTCTTTATATTTCGAGTCATCCTGTATGCGTTCACTCGAGGTATCGACACAAGCTATGACCGTCGCTCTGTGATCCGCCAGTACTGTAGCGAGCGCCGTGGTGTATACGTTTGGCAAACGGGTTCTCGCGAATATGTGATCGATGCATGACTTTGTTATTTTATTCTTTAAAGCTTCAATGCGGGTGTATTGCGAGATACCGCTTGCCAAACCCAACCCATGAAGCATGCTTTTATATGTATGTTTTATTAGTGATTTCCCCTTTCAGATCAATGTTCATATCACCTAATATAAACATATCTGAATCAATTTTAATCTTCCTTATGAGTGATTCCAATTTCAAGTATATCTATAAAATAAATATATTAAAGAAAATCGTCTACAACGTATTCTAAACTAAATTAAAATGCGATAAACTCGTCCGTTTTATAAAAGAAGTCGATAACTACAATGTTTTGGTATTTTATTACAAAAGTAATAATATCTCCTTCGTTAAATTGACTACCACATAAACGGGTACTTCCATTCCATCACAACTGTATATCGTCTGATTTATCTATTAATTATATATTATTAGCTGAATGCTCTGGTTTACGCTATATTATTAATTTACTTAATTTATGTACAGAATGAAGGTTCCGTGGAAGATCTACGCCAGTTAGGAGCGAAACCTCGTACGAAAATATTATCTGTCATCGATGGGAGGAGAGCGCAAAACTGCACTATACTGTTGTCCAAACTCAAGATGACTGATGAGGAAATCTGTCGGTGAGTATACATTTATAACAAAAACCCAAAATTATTTATTATTTTTTTATTAAGACGAATAAAATATACTATATAAGGAAAGTTCAACTGTTTAGCTATCATGGTTCACGAGATACAGCCTGGTGTGGTGACAGATCGACGACAGACGGACAGACTCTTAGTGATAGGGACACGTTTTTACCTTTTGAGTACGTCCCCTGAAAACGGAAATAGAGCGATTGGATTCGTGCATAGAAGGTTCCGCACAAGATTAATTTTTAAAAATCATAGACTTACAATCTTTTCATTTGTAATCTAAGGAGGATATTCTAATATGAAGTCTTGTTAGCATGCCGCCATTTTTTAAGTAGTTTTTAGATTTTGATTTTGATTCAAAATCTAAAAACTACTTAAATTTGATCAAAAGTAGGGTCAATGTAGAATTTGTAATTTTCTGTTGTCGGGGAGTTTGAAGTTTAAGTAATACCGTCCTATAATATACACTCATATGTGGCAATACATAATAATATAATACTAGCTTTCCGCCAGTGGATTCGCCCGCGTTAAATAAACCGCGTCAAATCCGTTGTATAGTTTTAAAGATCTGAGCATACATTGGGACAGCAAGATGGAAACCCACAAATTTATACTATTGTGGCACATCTGTTTAATAATCTTTGTCGTCCACTCTGTGGCAACGTAATCTGTGACATTTGTGATATAAACAATAATGTATTTGTAAGTGGCCCTTCAACATCAAACAGTCTGAAAGTAAACTCATAACCGTGAACAAGTTTATTAATTTTACCGACCCTTCTCATAAATAGAGTCAGATAGTCAATTTACCAATAAGTTAAATATCAATAAATAAATACCCAAAATACAATAAAGTGGTGTTCCCATACAATATCAGTAAACTATGTACCTATTGATGTGACGTTTTGTTCCCAGTGCCATATTACGCATGGACTCCGGTGAGCAGTTACCCATAGACATGGTGGAACAACTCTTGAAGTTCACCCCGAGCGCTGAAGAAGCCGCGTTATTGGAGGAACACCAGGACGAGCTGGACAGCATGGCTCGTGCCGACCGTTTCCTATATGAGATCTCTAAGTGAGTGAGAATATGATGCTATAGAAATTTAAAGTACTAATTACATGGAATTAACTGTCAATTTTGGTGGGTTACCATTTAATTGCAAAAAAAATAGTGTTGTGATCTGAGGGAAGTGATTCATCTATACAATTATATTATAAAGATATAGAGGAGATTGTATAATTCCGACACAATTCATACATTTTAAATACTAATGACTTTGCAAACATCGTCATTATACCGATTATTTGAAGGTCAAGGAAGTACAGGTATTAGTTTAAAACATGAGAACTTTAAATATATTTAATTTAAATCTGTGTTTTTGAAATATTCAAGGTATGATTTCAGTAAAACTACGACGGTACAGTATTTTTTTAAGAAAGATAAATAATGTAGAAAATTATAACATTAAAAATAACTTTCAGATGTCTGATGAACAAAAAAGTCAATGAGTCATATTACGGAATAGAGCTATTAAACTTGCAATATTATAAGAAGTAAAGTTAATCGAGCTGTTAGTGTAGTATATCTAATTAGAAATCAGAGTACATATAGTTTTTGAGCATACGATAATATGGTAGTTTCGATGGTGAAAAATAAGTCACCAAATTGCACAAAAAGTAAAGTTAACATCGTTATAAACATAGAAATTCTGATTTTGAGTCTTAAAGTCGCAAGATTATCTTAAAATTAAAGGTCATGATTTTTTGTCTCTGTGTCACGTGACTTGAAACACTTGAAGCACAAAGACGTAGCTTTTAATTATAAATTAAATTTCTAGATGGTGCTGTTCTTAGCTTATTTATATCTTTTTATTTCATAATTGATCGTTACATGACATTGTTCTTGTTTCATTGAAATCTTTTAATTTTTTACTCTATGCATCTATTTGTGTACATATCACAATGACGTCATGAATATGACGGAATGCGTTTTCGCGGGTATAATTTTTTTTTAAATTTTGATTTAATTTTAAGGCACGACAACTTGATTATTTTTCTGAAATACTCTTTTTGAAATCAAAATAAACAGTTATAATTATTATTTTGAACGGAATAGAATACACTATCCTTGAAATTTATGGATTTATATGTTGTTTCGTAGAATCCCTCATTACCAGCAGCGGGTACGTTCGTTGCTGTTCAAGAAGAAATTCTCGGCAGCTGCGGCGGAGGCGAGTGCGCGTGCGCAGACTGTTTTAAGAGCGGCGCGAGATATGACGAGATCGCGACGTCTCAAAGCGTTACTGGAGATTGTGCTCGCACTAGGCAACTATATGAACAGGTAAGGACAAACTCAAGTTATCATCATCGGCAACCTATTAATGTCCTCAAATCGGGATTTTATCGTCGAAAGTTAGGTAGGAAAACCGGTCCTTCTCGGTACAAAGTCTCCCACTGTAGATTTACGAACCGATGGCGTAGCACTCGACTTTCACAAGTGCTTATAATAGCCTAGACTGAATTAATGATTTTGATTTCATTTGATTTGTATATAATCAGAAATTTATATATTTTTTTAATGTTGCCATAATAATGTATATAAATGAAAATATGATATTTTCATTCTTCTTCTTCCATTCCAATATTATCCATGATATTATCAGTCAGATTTTATCGTCAGGTAGTTGACTGACTCTTCTTAGTCCACTGATGAAGAAAAAATTAAAAACCAGCCCTTCTTAATACGCTGTACGCACGGTTGAGTTATCCACGAAAGCGGGTTAAAGCTTAGCAACAGCAATGGTGACATTGAGTGAGCCCAGTACGAATTGGTGGGTGTTAACGCCTACAGATACAGACAGGACGAACGACTTAACGTGCCTTCCGAAGCACGGTGGAGTTCGAAATAATAAATTTTTATCCACCCATCTTATGACTGGTCCTTGCAAAAATTGCTTAACTTTCAGTATTGCAGACCGAATGTGCTAACTAACTGCACCTTTGAGATTCTCCTACTTTTTAATTCAACTCAATTGAATGTTTCTTTTTTATTCCAATTTGGTAACATTATTTAAAATCTTTTATTTTTGAATTGTCACACTGTATTTTTTTATTTATTTTCAGGGGTGCCCGCGGTAACGCATCCGGTTTCAGACTGTCGTCGTTGAACAAACTCGCCGACACAAAGTCTAGCGTGTCCAGAAATACTACTCTACTTCATTATCTAGTCGAAATGCTTGAAACGCCACAGGTAAATGATGCACTACACTACATTTCTTTAAAGATTTTAATTTTTTTTTATATACACAAAGCTATATTGATAATTATTTGATAGAAATATACAAAATCTTCCCGTCAGTCAGATAGTCCCCAGATAAATTGGAGATGTATTTTATTATGTTATCATTTAAACAGGTTTATTTGTAAGAAATTACGCAGTTACAAGATGGCATTCATACAATAATGAATTTCAATTTCGTTCAATGTTCGAATATTAATAACTCGATTTACACTTATATTCAATATTTAATTATTTCGCACAGAGCGTGACCTAGACATTTGAATGAATGTCACGAAAGTACAATACAATTATAAAGAATCAGTTCTGTGAGATTGCTGATGTTTTAAAAATAACCCTGTATCTTCAATATATCCAAGCCTGTTTTCTTACTGACTAGAATTATTTTTTCTCAATTGTGTTTTTTTGAGTACTTGAATACTTCTATTCTAATATTATAAAGAGGAAAGACTTATTCGTTTGTTTGCAATGAATTAACTCCGAAATCACTGGACCGATTTTAAAAATTCTTTCACATACGGAAACCTACATCATCTGGGGTGAACATAGGCTATATTTTATCCAGAAAAACAGCAAATAAAGGGATGAAAATGTGAGTGAAGTTTGTATGGGGGAATTAAAACGTTACCATATTAACCATTGTTTACTATTCAATTGCTCATTGTAATTATATGAATCGATATTAAAAAAAAACAGTTCCCTAGAAACCGCGCGGGTGAAGCCGCTAGCGGAAAGCTAGCGTTTCCTATTTCAGCTTTGTATATCACATGAATTTCTCAGTTCAAAGACATCCTGCTGCTGGAGGAGGACCTACCGCACGTGCGAGCGGCTGCTAAAGTGTGCGTGGAACAGCTGGAGCGTGACGTCAGCGCGCTGCGAGCTGGACTGAGGGACGTGGCCCGCGAGCTGGACTACCACGCCTCCCTCCCCGCTCACCACCCCCACGACGCCTTCCACACGGTCATGAGGGACTTCCACGCGCACGCCGTCTGCGCGTTCACGCAGCTCGAGGACCTGGCGCAGGTATTGTATCATCACTATATATATATCTTCTATATATCAACGCACAGCCAAAACCACTGGACGGATTGGGCTGAAATTTGGCATGCAGGTAGATGATATGATGTAGGCATCCGCTAAGAAAGGATTTCGATCAATTATAACCCCAAGGGGATAAAATAGGGGATGAAAGTTTGTATGAAACTTGACAATTTTAAACCTATCTGGCTGAGACTCCGCATGCATAAAGCTACTATGACGTAGGCATCTCCTAAGAAAGGATTTTGATAAATTCCATCACTAAGGGGATAAAATAGGGGATGAAACTTTATTTCAGGTATTTTACACGATATAATGAATAAATATTCGTTAAGAAATGCTGCTCAAAGTAACTTTACCACGCGGACGAAGTCGCGGGCAAAAGCGATATATATCAGGGATGGAGAACCATTGGGGCACGTCATCAATCACGAAATACATTAAAAAAAAATAATCAATTGAAACAGAAAGATTGATGGGCAATATAAGTAAAAATGCTAATAATAAAAATTTTAAAACATGGAATTCTTTACCTGACTCATTTGAAGCAGCTGGCTCATGCAATTCCAACAATATTTTCATCTACTTAACCCTGCGAGTCATTATGAGAGATGAATGACATTGAAAATTTTGTTAGAAACAGATTGACAGATCGACAGTTTAGCATGCATTCCGCTAAAAGTAACATCTTACAACCCCAATATAAGTTTATTGTCATCTAATTTGCAACAACAGAAGTCACACCAATTTTACATTAATTTAATAGCACGCGTAATTTAAATTTATGTAATATTAACCAAACGAAACATTGCCAAATGTACCTTTTTTGGGGTTACTAAAGAGTTTTGAGTTTTATTATTATTATTTTTCCAATAATCACGAATTCAAAATTATTTAATGGTATGTCTATGACCTCAATACACATTGCATTAGATAAAACGGTACGTTGATGCTTATAGGTTCGCCATCCCTGTATTATATCATCAATATATATATATTAATTTATTACCTTCGTTGTACCGTCATAAAAGTTTCCAGAACTAAACGATTTTTACTGATACTTAAGAGTTAGTTTTTTTAAATAATAAATTATAATACAATTTTTGTGGTGAATGTGTTTTTGAAACTATAAAAGATGTTCGATACTTGAAGGAACCAATTTTTGTTCTAATTAAAAATTTATCACATATTAATTGTAATCAGCCCGCGTAGCATGGTGAACTGGAGAGATTCAAGAAACGGACGAGAGCGAGAATGAGATATTGTCTCACTCTCGACCCGTTTCTCGAGTTTCTAGGGCGTCCCTCGAGTTGGTCAAAAAATTGCGGACTAGAATATCTTGCCTTCATGTTATCATGGATGGAATTTTTTATACTAGTCACTAGGTATTAGAAATTTATTTAAACGTTATTTGAACACAATATAAAATAGATATCGTAATGGCTGTTAAAAGTAGCCAATACGTAATTTTGGGCTGGTAATGTTTAAGTTATGAGTAATAAAAATAAATGTTGATTTGACGTTCTTTTAATTTAATTTAGAGTGATTAAGTAAAATGAATACATACAATAGTATAGCTTGTATAGTAAACCCAAATCAATTATCATACACTATTTAGGTAAAATTATATAGTTGTTAACTTTTAACTTACTATATTTTTGTTAATTTAACGCTTTAACGATTATCGGAGTTAACGAGTAACTAATTAACGACATCACCATCAGCTCATTTACATCCCCACTATCCCCATCTATAAAATGTAAATATATATAACTCAAAGATGACTGAATGACTGACCAATCTGCCAACCACCAACCTGATCTTTCAACGCACAGCCCAAACCACTGGATGGATCAAGCTGAAATTTGCCATGCAGGTTGATGTTACAACGTAGGCTTCCGCTAAGAAAGGATTTTGATAAATTCCACCCCTAATAAAATAGGGGATGAAATTTTGTATAAACCTTCTTAGATTTTCGACTGATTGAACTGTAATTAAATATTGAAGCTACTATGATGAATATGTCCGCTATAATAGGATTTTGACAAATTCAACCCCCATATGAATTTGAACCTATCATTACCTGATGGAACGAATAAATAAATATTCGTTAGAAATGCTGCTCAAAGTAACTTTACCACGCGGTCGAAGTCGCTGACAAAAGCTAGTAAAAATATATATATGAAAAAAAAATGTTGTCCACACCCCTATCGACTTCGCTCACCGTTGTGCAGGACATGTTGTATATAACACACACCCCTATTGACTCTGCCTATTATTGTGTAGGACATGAAGAGTAGACTAGAGTCGTGCGCGCACTCGTTCGGCGAGGAGGCGAGCGCGTCGCCGGAACAATTGTTCGGCGCGATGGACGCGTTCCTGACGCAGTTGGCGGAGGCGCGCGCCGAATGTGACGCGGCGAGGCGGCGGCGCGACGAGGAGGAGAGGCGGACCAGGCACGAGCAGGAGGTAACACGATTGGGGCTGAACTTGGCCGCGATTGATAGTTCGCGAGTTAGTTCGCGGTTCCGTCGCGACTGCTGAATGAACTAGTTCACTTTTATAGTTCACTTTTGTAGTTCATTTGACTTCAAAAAACTAAAAAAATTTAGATCACTAATGAGGAAGTGTTTAAAAAAAGCACTGAAAAGCACCTCCACTAGATTGCGACTCTAGCAAAAGTCGCAAGTTAGTTCGCAGTTCCGTCGCGACTATTGAATGAACTAGTCCACTTTTGTAGTTCATTTAACTACAAAAAACTAAAAAATTATAGATCACCAATGAGGAAGTGTTTAAAAAAAAGGCACTAAAGAGCACCTCCACTAGATGGCGACTCTAGTAAAAGTTGATTTTTGCAGGAAACGAATGGGCCAAAGACAGTCATTTCCGTTCCTTTTAACTATCATATTAAAAATATGAAATTTGAAAAATTCGAAACTTAGATATCAATACAAATATCAAAAGTACAGATAGAATATGAGTTGTTTATTGAGTTTTGAAAACTAATTTACTTTTAAACCGGAAAGGTTGTCATGGAGAAATCAAGAACGTACCGTAGCGACATCTAGTTTGCTTTCGGGGAATTAATGTTTCTTATTTAAATACTTCCTCATTAAAAAACAGGTGAAAGCAGTAGGGTCAGTAAAAAAATCATATTTCATACTGTATTTATATAATTAAAACAATCATATATTTTGAATAGTTATCAGGATTTACACACACGTTTCACTGTGTAAAATAAACGAAAAACGAAACGAAATAAAAATCTAATTATGTTCATCGATAATTGCAATAGTATATAGTTAATTACATATATCTCCTCTCTCCCAGTCATTGGCAGTCTCGTATACTCTTTTGCTTTAATTTTACTTTCATTTTACTCTTTTGCTTTCATTTGTATTAAAACATTTTTCCTTTATAGTTGAAAAAGAGGACAATGGAGCGCAAGCAAGCATCGAGCCTTTTAAGCTCCGTAGGAAAATCACTAGGAAAGAATTCCGATTGTAACGGACACGCGAACGGCGATACATCCCGAGATGGCACCCTCACCAATGGACAGAAAGGCGAGTTCGATGACCTAATATCCGCTTTACGCACCGGTGACGTCTTCGGTGATGACGTGGCAAAGTTCAAACGGTCCAGGAAGGCGTCCAAAACCTCCCATAAAGGAAGGGATTCACCGCCTAAAGGAATTTGCAGAGAAGATTCTAGGGAACGTCAGAAGAATTGAAAATAGGAATTGTATCACCTTCTAGGTGAGTAGGGAACATGTTGAGACTTTTCAGTTCTAGGTACATGATTAGAACGAAGAATAAACTAGCGAGTTGTAAACCTGTCACAAATTCGAGATTAGAAACGAGAGATTTTTGATGAAGTTAACAAATGAGTTGTTTTGTATTTTGTTTGTTATGTCGACTCGTTTTCTTGTTGGTAAGGTGGAAAAGTAACCGGGGCTGGTCCAATTTATTAATGAAGGTGCACTTTAACATCAGTGACAACGAAAACGAAATTGAATGTAGCTGCCATTTTTATAATTACTTTTATACTTATTGTGCTGTCGACACTTCACAAAGTAGGTGCCTAATTTTAAACTTTTCTTATTTAAGTTGTACACGATCTTTTTGACGATTTGGCTTTTGCTGGCTATCGACTGATCAAGTCAAAGACTGTGCATGTTATTCCATAGAGATAATAATTTAAGATGTACTTATAAGCGACGTGTGATTTGAATAACCATAGAGTAGAGACCAGACAGTTTTGTAACAATAGATTTTGTATCCAGTTTTCAAATAAAGCATACTCGTTTTCGTTATGCATGATAGGTCCATGATCATATATTATGGTAATATAGTAATATTGAACTAAACATTTGATAATGCGGTATTTAAAACAAACTCAGTAGTTAGCGAAATATTTCGTCGATCTTATGAGTACTCTCATTGTAAAATTATCGGTTTTTTAAATAGTTTGTCTGATCTATCAGTCATAAATATTTGTTTAAAATTAAGATATTGTGCTGTTATCTTATTAATAATAATTAATATATGGGTTAGTTTTATATATTGGTCTAAATCTATCATGTCATCCAATGATAGTGTGCCTAAATTTTTTAAGAATTTTTACGTTTAGATATTAATCTAATCAATATGCCGCGGCTACAACACTGTCAGTATTTGACTTTGATATCATATTGGCCTCTTCTAATGTAGTTTGATGATTATAAAACAATAATATCATATCTCTATCGGCTACAAATTATACTCTATTTAAAAAAAAAAAACACGAAGGAGTTGACATAAAATCTTTTTGGATTTTTAAATACGATCACTTTGTGTGAATATAAAAAAATGAGTCTTTATTCCTATATTGTCAAATATCTAAGGAATAGGGAATCGATATAGACAGACCGATTTCGATCGAACATAAATTGATTTTGGAGTTTTACAATGAATGTGTTATTTGGACTGGTTATACTAATGCATGTTAGTTGGAGTTTTTTGATAAATTTACATTGTAATTTTTTATATTGATCTTATAAATCTTCAGCATCTGATTAATTTATTATTTTTCTCTCACAGAATGTGATTAAACTAGAAATATTTTAAGTTGATTGTATATATAATTTTAATTTGCCGAAATTTTGTTACCTTGAATATGTAATGCAGAAATTTGATAAGTTATTGAAATTACTTATCTATAGAAGTTTATCAAGTGTAAATTTTATTGTTTTGTTCAGTATTGCATAAGCGAATAGTATATTAATATAATGATTATTATACCTATAGAAATTATTTAAATTAAAATCCTTAAAACAATGTTTATGTGTTATTATTTACATATATTTCATAAGAAATTACTCAAAATTTATTATATTAATGAATCTATATCCCATTCCAAGTGTCATATGGTTAGGTGCATAAAGGTTCATTAAGGTTTAATGACGCGTTTAAGCTCTAATAAATGTCAATTTTGTATGTGTAAAGTCACTTTAAACTAATGTTAATTTTAATGGACGTTTGTGCAACAAGCTGATAATGTTTTAAATATGTTTTTTTCGTTCTTTTTTCTAATTACCAAAAATAATACCTCTAAAACGATTTTTTTTTTGTTTAAAACCGAAATGCTACTACACACAACTGATGAAATAAGAAATAGATATGCATGCACAAGAAATGCTGTAGGTCATTTGTAAAAAACATGAGTACCGTAATAAGTCTTCTCTTAACCCTGACTTTTCTAACTAGTATTTTTTACATAAGAAAGTGGTGCCGTTACATGCGGCATATTTTTAATGGAAAACGATTAAAAAAATCCACTTTCTCCCTGACACTCTGAGATGGGACAAGAATCCATGACCTTACGCAATCCGGGCGACTGAACTACCCACGACCTAAAGGACTGACGACTTTTTCAAGCATTCGTTACTTTTTCACTACTACAGAGCGTATTTGCATCAATGGTCAGGCATCCACCCAAACAGTCGAAAGTAATATTTGTAGAAATATTTAAACTTTCGATAAAGACGGAAATTTGTTCTATTTATTATATAAGATCAATTATGCATTCACAATGCTATACTGAAATGCTATATTACTTGAACTGAAGTAGTGGATTGGAAGCAATTAGATTTTTTTTTATACTAATTGTAATATTAAATAATTATTGATTGAAGAATGCAACAAAGTTTTTATTTTATTTTATTTTTCTTAAAAACAAAAAAGTTAATTCATTTTAAAGATACTATTTTGGATAATTTCATAAAAACAATAAACAATTTTTTTTTCAATATCGTAACATTTAGGTTAAAACCTTATTGTGCTATTAATAAACAAGGTAGTATTAGTCCAAATTCATATTATACAGAGAATAAGTAAACTACATTCTAGAAGTAAATACTCATAGAACCTCGTACTAGCCTTTGCTAATTGTCTGTTTGTAGAATGTAGCTGTTTATAGTGTTTATGGCGTAGTGAATAAGCGCCACGGCCCGCGATCGTTGTCGTTAAGCAACTTTCGCAAGGGTCGGTCACGGGATGGGTGACCAAAAAATTATTACTCGAGCTACTCCGTGCTTCGGAAGGCACGTTAAGCCGTTGGTCCCGGCTGCATTTGCAGTCGTTAATACCCTCCAATCCACATTGGGCCAGCGTGGAGGGTCATGGCCCATCCTCCTTAGCCATCCATAAGGAAGGCCTGAGCCCTTGCAGTGGGGACGTAAAAGGGCTGATGATGATGATGATGATGAATTGTCTGTTTATTAATATGAATTTTTAACTAATACTAAGTGTAGTCTCAGCGTTAATTTAGTCCAATGATAAACCTTGTTTATTAATAACACTGACAGAGTATTAGTTAAAACGTAGCTAACAACCCTTCAAGACCTCTAAAATATTACGTCGATCCATGTACTAAACACGCTGTATATGTCATCGACCAAGTGATTATTCGGGTATTATAAATTGCATTTTTTTTCCCAAATGTTCAAGTGTTGACTTTATGGATCTAAATTCTTTTATTTCCTAATAACGAGTCTGGCCCGTAGAATCAATTGCTATCCATCCTTGTTTGTTTTCTTCCCCGATTCCCGTGGAATATTATACCTGCTAATGTATTGTGTATTTTTATCAGATTGCCCAAACACGACATGGCTATTACCAATCATAATGTCAGGGAAATGTAAATTAAGGAAGTTCCTATCATTTTTTTTCCAAAATAGTCATTATTTATAATTAGGGAATGCAATCTCGGAACTCAGCCTTTTTTAGCGAGATCGTAAAATGGACGAGATCAAGATTACACTCGAGCATAAAAACGATTTATTATAAATGCGGCAGTGCGAATTTGTGCGAGTCCGGGGGTCAAAAGGCGAAGTTTTACATTCTATATTACTTGTGTTTTCGAAAAGGTCTTCTCAGTGGCTGGTTATCTGACCAGCACAATAATAGTAAAGACTCTTTGGACATTTTGTGTTTTTTAAGAAGCTACTTTTAAAATTATTCGTAATAATGATGTGTGAAGGGAACTGAATAAGCCTTTAAATTGATTGGTATATTTTGTTAATTTATTCTCTAATTTCTAATAGATCTCTGGGTACACATAGTTTTCTTTCATGGATATTAATCTCAGTTTAATTGTCACATAGTTACTGAGTTTTATATTAGTTTTGTTATTAAAACTGTGTAATTAGCAGAGAAGACTGGTTGTTTATTTTTCTCGTATTTGATTAGATACGTCAAAGTTTAGTTTCTTAAAAGATTAGCGACAATATTGATTCTCGCCACGGGTTTGTTTGGATAGCACGTGTGTTTTGAGAGTTTTAAGAATTTTAAAAGTTTTAAGTGTTTCCGAGTGATTGTTGTGACTTGTGTGTTTGATTTTGTATAGTTGTGCCGTCCTTGTGTTCGTAATCAGGTTTGTGTTGTACTTGTTATAAATTTTCCAGACCTAAAGATGGAAAGAAATAAACCGCCCGATCCTGACCCCCCTGACACCCAATTCTCCCTATCCCAAAACCCACTGTCACAATTTGCCGACGTTATCTGTAGTACTGTAGTATTACAGACATGGATGTGTCCCAAAGCACTCGAAAACGCCCCAATGCTAAAGAAACCACTACCCCTACCCCACCAAGTAAACAGCCCAAAAGCCAAATCGGTCGCGTACGATACTCGGCCGTGGATAAAAGTCCTTACATCGTGCACGTCTCTCGATTGGAAGCTACGCCAAACGCAGGCACCACGTTACATCCCGTCAATTTTGGTAAGTTTTTAATCTTTAACAAAATTGCAAATATTCGTCGTGATAGAGTAAACAAAGTTGGCAGAAACCGCGTCTCAGTAGAATTTACTTCTCCCCAGGATGCAAATGCATTCCTTGTTAATAATGTTCTGTCTAAACATGGCTACTCAGCATCCATCCCTACCTTTAACATCACTCGGATGGGTGTTATTTCTGGAGTCCCCACGGATATCTCAGAAGAAGAAGCCTTATCCTTTTTGTCTGTACCTACAGGATGTGGTAAAATTCTAAAGGTCCGACGCATTAGTAGGAAAACATACAATGACGGTGTAGCCGATTGGAAACCAACAGAGACTTGCGTTATCACTTTTGATGGCCAAGTTCTACCTCCCAGAGTATACTGTTGTTACACTTCGCTCCCAGTTGTACAGTACATTTATCCGACTATACAGTGCCGTAAATGTTGTAGATTTGGACATATGGCGAACCTATGTTGTTCAAAACCACGCTGCTGTAAGTGTGGACACGATCACCCCGGTGATGGTTGCAACATTTCTGAAGGCGAGGCTTTCTGTGTGCTTTGCTCGGGCAACCACTTTGCCAATAGCAAGTCATGCCCTGAGCTTGGCAGACAGAAGGCTATCAAGACTATTATGGCTGAGAAGTCAATCCCATATGTGGAGGCTAGCAAAATAGTTCCGATTCCTTCCCGAAACTATGCTAATGCTACCAAATCCCAGTCATACCGCAAAACAGTCACGCTTAATCCCAAGACTCATGCCCCACTTTCCCCTTCTTATAATATAAGAACCCACAATGATTTAATAAGACCTCCCCAACCCACACAGCCCAATGGCTGCGCCCTCAATCTAAATAGTACTCCACCTAACAAAGACATCTCCCTTGTTGAACTCCTTGTCAAATTATTACCTTCCCTTATCTCTTCTACTTCTAACTCTCAATCACCGTCCAACGTTGCCGATGAACTTATCAAAATTCTTTTACAAATTAAAAATGGCGTCCAGCCAAGTATTTCTACAATGGAATGTGAGGAGCGTGTTTCATAAGAAGCACGACCTCATATTCCTTCTTAACAAATACAAACCTCTTGCTTGTTCCATAGCTGAGACTTGGCTCACCCCAAGTCTTAGCTTCCGTATACCCTATTACAATGTCCTCCGATGTGACAGACCCGACGGATATGGAGGCTCGGCTCTTTTTGTTAACAATCGGGTACCACTATTGCCATTATCTATGCCTTCACTTACAGGTGACATGAGTATTGTATCTGGAAAGATGGAAGGTATCACAGTATTCTCAATATATATTGTTCATCCACAACACAACTTTTTAACTATTTTAAGAAACATACTTTCCAATGTTCAAGGGCCTGTAATGGTCATGGGTGACTTTAACTGTCATCATTATAGATGGGGATCTGAGCGTTGTGATGCGTTTGGTTCAGCTCTGGTTGAGATACTAGATGATTTGGACCTTTGTATATTAAACAATGGTTGCCCAACACGCAGGTCTCCCCCTGGTCAGCAGAGGAGTTGCGTTGACATAACATTCTGCTCTGTTGAATTAGCAGCTTCAGCTCATTGGGAATGTACAACCTTGTCGCATGGTAGTGACCATTACCCCATTGTCATTTCTTTAATTAACAGAACTTATTTAGAAAAAGCTTCACCTCCACTTTTGAAGTACAGCCTGTCCAAACCAGATTGGTCTAGGTTCGCTTCATTACTGGAGGAGAAAATTGATACTCTTCCAAATTTAAATTCAAGTTTACCCGACCCTTCTGATCACCGTCATGCCAAGCATTGCTATGATGGATTTGTTGGAGCAGTTACTTCTAGTGCAGATTCTTGCTTCCCATTAAAAAATAGCGCCCGTACTTACAAGTTTGTGCCCGAACCAAACGTCTTCTCCGTAAGAAAAAACGTGCAGGTTGGGTGAAGTTTTGTACATCCTTGTCCCCGTCCACTCCAATTTCAGTAGTGTGGAAGAACATCAACAGATTTAGATGTGGTTGCTCACCGTCAATATCCTCACCAATTACTAGGGAAACAGCGGA